TCTGTTTTTTTGGTAAAAAGGTGTTAAAGAATATGTTCTAGTTTTATCTTAAATATAGGAATATAGAGAGGTAGCTAGTGTTCTTTGTCTTGTTAGATTAGTTTGTTGCTATTGGTTCTAGTAGTAGGCCTTGTTAGTGTTAGCTTTACTAGGTTAAGGTATTATAGTTTAGGTTATTTTAATTGCTAGTACTTAATCTTTGCTTTTAGTTAGTGTAGCTTATAGATACTGATCTTAAATGTATTTTTAGTTCTTTTTTTGTTTTGTTTTTTTTGTTTAAAAGTAAATTAATATAAATAATAATCTTATTTTTAATTACTTTAGTTAAGTAATTAACTTCTTTAGATTCTAATATATCTTTGTTTATTATAGCTTAGTTTTTAATAGTTATTATTATTCTAATTTCTTAATCTAGGATATCTTCTGGTTTAGGTAAGGGTTTAGGGGTTAATAGTTATTTTTTTTACTAGATATAGTTTACTTTATAGTTACTTTGTTTCTTTTTGTTTAGAAACACTGTTCTTAGTATAAGAGTAGGTAGTAAAGGCTATTATAAAAAGTATCCTTTTTATAGGATTAGAGTAATGTTAGCCTCTTTTATAATACCTAGAACATAAAATTCTAGGTTATAAGTTATGCTTAGGTATTATATGTTATTTATAATTACTTATATTTTCTTAGCTAAGATTATTATTTTTATATTATTCTTTTTATAAAATTAGCTTTTATTAAATGTTATATTTTATGTAATTATAATTTGTTAAAATAAAAGGATTTATATTTAGTATAAGTTATAAGTATTTTAAATATAGCTTACTAAGTATCTAATATAACCTCTTAGTTTTACCTTAAAGCGTTATCTTTCTATGTTTTTCTTTTAGTCTCTTTAAATAAGGTATACTTAGTAACTATATATATAAAGCTATTCCTATTATAAATATAAGTTCTAACTAAGAGTTACTTAGTATTAAGGTTACTATTAGCAAAAAAATTATTTAAACTATTTCTCTTTTTTCTTAATTAGGTAGAGCTAAACGTTATACTAAAAAGGACTAATGTTATAGAGGTATATACTAGCTATTACTACTTTAACTTATAGTTTATATAGGAGGCTTGCTTTAGAAAGTAGTTTAATACCTCTAGTTATTACTTCTTAGCTAGCCCTTTTAGCTCTATTATTTAGCTTCTTTATATATAAAAAGGTAGTCTTAACCTTAATCTCTTCTTCTTCTACCTATTGTTCAAACTTTATATTACTATTAATTACTATAATAAAGTAGTCTATATCTTATTTTATTTTATATAAAGTAAAACTATATTGCTTTACTATTTACTATTTAAAGATATATAGAACTTTAAATATACTCTTATAGGTTTTTAATATCTTTAGAAATCTAAAGAGTTAATTAGTGTATTTGTTTTTGATTATTATAAGCTATAAGTTCTTATTATATCCTTTAAGGTAATTAAAGAGGTCTTAAGTAATTCTATAGTATAAGCAAAATAACTTTTGTTCTAATCTTTGTTTTAAGACTATTTTTTTTGCGTAGGCTGTTTAATAATAGGAGTATTTTAATCTCTTATAGGCCTTGATTTTTACTTCCTAAGCGTTTAAGACTAATTACTTAAGTGCCTAGGGTCCTAGGTAGTTGTCTTGTAGGTGCTAGAGCTAGGCGGGGTCTAAGTAAGTACTCTTTTTGTAGTATGAAGGTTGTGTGAGAGTGTTATAGTAAGGTAACCTTATTACGTTAATATTAACTATAAATGTGTTATTTACTAGGATTTATATATAAGAAAAGTAGTTAAAAAGAGGCTTATATTTAAGAAAAGTAATATTTACTTTTTGTATAAGTTGCTTAATTATAAAGCTGTCTAAATACCTTTTGTATTAAAGGGTATAATTTAGCTCTGAGTACTAAATACCTGTTATGTAAAGTAAAGCTTTTAATATAGTATTTATATAAAAGTTCTTTATATATACTATATTCTTAAGCATAAGGTCCTAGTTTACTTTATTTTAACTTCTAAGAATCCCTTTAATTATATATTTGCTTTTTATATAAATAAGGTATAAAGTAATACTTAAGTTAACTTATTAATTACTCTTTTTAACTACTTAGACTATGCTTAGCTTTAGGAGAGATATATTATTTACTAGGTAAGTAGTTCTATAGTTATCTAATATAATACTATATAAAAGGATATGTAGACTAGAGTATAAAGTAGTAAAGATACTATAAATTTCTTTTTTTTAAGTAGCTTTATTTAGGTTTAGTTAAAGTAAAGTAAAGTTAATAATATATATAATAACCTTTAATAATAAGTTATTATTAGGTCTATTATTATTATTTTTATTATTATTAGCTTTATTATTATATCTTTTAAGATCTTTTTTTTAAGATAAAGGGATTATTTAAAGTTACTTTTTCTAAGTAAGTTTAACTTAAAGGTCTATATTCTAAGAGTTATTAATTTAATTATAGATTTATTATATATTATTATTAGTAATTAAGGCTAGTCTAGGTAAGTAGCTAGTAAAGGTTTTCTTTATATAAGTATATTTAAGTAAAAGCTAATAGTATAAATAGCTATAAATATATATTTTATTTAAGTTTTTTAATAAAAAATAATATATATTATTTTTAGTTAATATAATAGGATAACTTACTAGGGTTATATAGATATTAAGCCTTCTTTTATAGTATTTTATTACTAATAATTCTTTTTATAAGATACTAGTTAAAATTATTATATAGTTATCTAGGTTTTTAATTAAAAGGCTTATTATTTTATTTTAAATAATTTTTATAAATTTATAAGTTATTTAAGATAAAGTAATTTTATATAATACTACTCTTAGAAAAGTTCTTAAAGTAAAGGTACCTTAGACTTTTAATAAATTTAAAATTTTTATATAAAAATAAAAATTTTATTATTTTATTAACTAAATAAATAAGTTAATATTTAAGGCTATTTAATTCAATAAAGTTAAATATTTTTTTTAAATAATAATTTAATTAAATAAGTTATTTAATATATATTATTATTTAAGAATTTTAAGTATTAAGTAAAGTATTATTTAGTTTTATATTAAAGCTTTTATTTAAGTTAACTTAAAGAGTAATTTAGTAATTAATATTCTTATTTATATATTAATTAAATTAAATATTTTTTATTATTATTTTTAAATAACTTTTTTTATATTAATATTTAAAATATATATTTAATATATAACCTTAATATTTAAATTAGTTATTATTAAAAAAGGTTTATTATTAGTTTATTTAAGATTTATATTAATAATAAATTTATTAAAAATAAAAATCTTTAAGGTATTTAAGATCTTATTAAGATATTTAAGTTTATTTTTTTTTATTTATTTAAGTTTATTTAAGTTAATAAATTCTTAGATATACTTTAATTTTATTTTAAGCTAAAGAGTTATATACTATAAGGGCTTATTACTTTATATCTTAAGTTTTTTTATAGCTTTAATAAAAATAAATATATTAAAGATATTAGTTTAAGAGAATAAAGATAATTTATTTAAAAGAGATTTTTTAGCTTATAATATACTTTAAATATAATAGTTTAAGGGTATAATATAAGCTAGGCTTATAATTATTATAGAGTCATTACTTAGGGTAAAAAAGATATAAGGAAAACGGCTTTTATTTCTATGTGTAGGATTATTTTGTTTAAAATGAATAAATATATATCCTGCGTGGTGGATCTGCACGAAGGGACTGGACTAATAGTTAATCTGGGCCCGGCGCAAATCTCACAAGGCTGCGCGATGCGCGTGAGGGCATTGCGACAGATAGCAAAAAGTAAACCTTGGCACTTCTGTACTAAAGGTGTAAGCCTCATGGGTTTAATTGGTTTGGTAGAAATAAAAGCGTAAGTATCGATGGAAATCCCTGTCTTCGTTTGCACTGCATTATCTAAAACTGATTTGTTTCCCGGCCGCTCAAATGTGCGCCTGGTTCTGACACACCGCTTTCGTGAATAATGCTCACGTAGGACTAAGTACTGTTGTCTAATTAGGGTGAAGCTTCTGAAAGTCTTGTACTTGCTGGACAAAATTCTTCGGCGGTCATAATACCTCAAGAGTCCCGTGTCTTCCAGTACGGCCAGTGTGGCAAGAACACAAATAGTTGCCAAGTTTATTGCGGATGCACTAGTTCAATTAATACTCCAAAGTCTACATAAAAGCTTACATCAAGTTTATTTCAACGAAGCAATCGTTTTTGGTCATCACCTTCATAGGCGGCCGATGACCGCAATACCTCATCCTGTCGGATGAAGCGTCTGGGTTCTGTCGGTCATTGGCTGACAAGGCTGAAACCATTTCCATATCTTTCAACTCTCTCGATGCTGCCATGTAACGCCACACTCAGGGGATCATGACTGGACTGACGAGAACTCTATGGAAGGTCATTTTACTAGAAGTAGCGCACATGTCCACGGTCAGAAAGTACTAAAGTATTGTTCTAAAGAGGAGAAAGTCTTTTCAAACGTCTTTGGATGCCTTACTGCAGAAACTTCGTCTGTTTGGCTCATATTACAGTACATGCGCTAGAGATAGGAGAAAAAGTGCTTCAAAATTAGGCAGAGAGACTAGTGAACAAGCATTTTCAAGCTGAGACGCGCAGATGGGGTGGGAGGAAGCACAAGATTCCGTCTGAAAATCTATAGTCAACCCACTAATCAACATCTGGTAATTACTGGTTTCGATTCATCAGGCCAAATCAACATTAATATTGCTTTTCATTCCCTTCCCAACCTTAGCATTACTTGACATATCACGACCCAAAGTCACAGGTCGCACCGTTGCTAAATGGAGTCAACAAACCAGATTCCGGCTTGGGGATGGCTGAGAGGCACTCAGAGCGAACGGTGAGAGACCATGAGGTGAAGGCACATTATCAGACTCTTGATGCAAAGCAGTCATTACGAAACCCCTCGCTCCAAGAACAAGACATCTTAGACGTTTAGCCCTAGTCTCTGCCCACGGCCCATTTGGTTGCATCCTTCAACCAAGCGAATATCAGATCTGTTCCCTTGGATACATTCCTTGCCAACAAGCCATTTCTGGGGTCTTTTTCCGGACCGGTGTCGTTATATGTCTGGACTAAACGCGTTTGATTCTTTCCGACTTCCAAAATAGATCCTCCAACAAGAGAATCCTCCTCAACACATCGTAGCATAGCCTCTGCCACCTCATGGGGAGTGACCCAGCCGTCCTGGTCTGCATCCAGATTTATGAGCTTCTCTGGGTTCTCAGTCCAGAGCGGTGTACGCACAACTCCTGGTGCAACAGCGTTGACGCGGATTCCATCTGTTTCCTCCAGTCGAGCCAGACTTCGCACAAAGCCAGTAATGGCGAACTTGGAAGCTGCGTACAACGGCGCGTTGAAGTTTGGCACCTGGCCCGCAACGGACGAGATATGAACAATCCTCTTGGGGTTGTCGGGCGATGCCTTTACGGCGGACATCAGGGCAGCATTGGTGATTACTTTGGGATGCAGCCAGTGAGAGATTGCCAATTGCGTTGAACGGATGGGATGAGTAATGTTAATATCGAGCAGAGAGTATCTTCCATCTTCCACGCTGTCCTTGCTCTCTGGGGATCCTGGTGGATGCCAGAAGTTCGACCAGTGGGGTTCGTACACGCCGGCCCCAGGGCATAATATGTCGAAGCCGTTAAACTCAGAAATGGCGACTTGGAATATATTGGAAAGGGCGGGCCATGAGGTTACGTCAGTCTGAACGAAGACTGCACGAGCCTTGGCGGTAGCGTCTTGATGTTTCAGAACAAGAGCCTCTGCTTCAGGCCTCAAAGAAATATCCGCAATCACGACATTGCAGCCATTCGCGAGGAGAAGCTCGGCGAAGCAAAGATTAATACCTAGGAAAGATTAGCTTTATAGGATCCCTCGATTAGGCTTAGATGTAAAGTCACGGTCCATACCAGAACCAGCACCAGTGACAATGGCAGTTTTGCCAGACACGCTAAAAGGCGCGATGATTTTCTGGGCGTTCGACGACATTTCGTGAGGTACTGAATAAGTCGGTTTCGCCAGTGAAAGTGTCGTGATTTGCAGTATAAGTCTTCAATACAGGTGGTGTCTTACTGGTCCGGATCAATGCCTGCTGCACAGAGGCTCTGCCGTATTTTTAAAAGCTCCTCGACGCATTTGGCAGCAACGCTGACGCTGTCTGCTTTTCAATATCAACAACTCTAGCATCCCCAACGATCGGACCACATTCAGCCGAGATGAACCACCGAGACACGCGGGCGGGATGTATGGCAAGTCATGTGGCACTTTTAATGTTACAGTTACCCCGCAGAGGATTTGGTTGACATGATTGGAGGAGACGTATTTCCCAGGCGCTTAGAGTTGCCCGCTTTTTTGAAATGTTGTTGGGAGATGTGAAGAGAGGTTTACAACTTCTTCTAATACAGGTTCTCTGGGGCGATTGCATTGAGAAGTATGAATCGGAAGACTCGTCAAACCCGGAAGTACCGGCTTCATAGGAAAAAGAACAGAGTATTAATATATGCAGTTCATTTTCCCATCGTCCGCATCCTTCGCACTTGGTCCACAATCCCACTGGATTATTTAAGTGGCAGCACTAGCAAATACGAGAGAACCACCCAAAGTAGATACAAAGTATTTGAAGGTGGTTGTTGGCTCTGTTGTTCGTAAAGGAAATGAAGTTTTGAAGCAAAAAACTGTATATAGCAATATGCACAGAATTCCTGTCCACAAAACAGCAGTCATTCCATGAAGACCGATAAAAGGAAGGCATAATCACTGCTCCACGCCAGCTGTGTATGTATCAACCTCAACACGTGGGTTCAGACATCAATGGAAGTATAGATAGTCGGCTCCTCGGTCTTTTCCAATAGAGTTCCTACGATTATCGATAAGCTAATGCTGCTACACAAAGCGATTTCGTCGTAGAGGTTTTTCGATGTGTCAACGGTCTAGCCTTCGGGACTTTCCGGCGACGCAGTGCGATTATTACCTCATGTTCTAGTTCCAAGCCGTCTTTCTGACGCAAGAGCCTCCGTCTTCAAGATAGCAGGCCGTTCTATACAGTTCTTGAAGTCCTGCAAGATGCCTGCTCGACGTTTAGACCGTGCGAAGGCAATTCTGCTGTAATTGTCGTCTTTAAAACGAGAACAGAGTTGCGCCATGAGACATCGCACGCAGAAAGAATACATTGGCAGGCTCATATCTTTAATCTTGGGAGAATATGGCTCATGGCCGATGAAAGCATCGTTTGGTGAATTAAGAGAACTCGTCAGTCAACTCTCCCAAAACAATAAATGACGCCGTGACGCTCTGATTTACAGAATTTTGACATTTCCTTAAGCGGAAAGGTTTCTCAGCAACACAAAGAAGCCGGAGTGCATTTTAACCCATCCTGATTTCCTGTTGTCTGACAGGATGTTTTGATTACCGCCAAATTGTTGAGATTCAGAGTCTCAGCATGAAATACAGCCACACTCAGGGGGCACTCGGTGTCCTTATTATCCAAAAGAAAGAAGTAATGCGCTTGTGGAAGTTGCTTGTACAGTCTCAATCGAGACAAGCTGTGTCACTCTGAGGATAGACTACAGTTGTGATCAATGCCTGTTGATATTTATAAAATAGTATTGTCATAGTGCAGCTGCTTACCTACCTTGAACGCCCGGATTGATGGACTTCATAGAAGTAGCTTCTTTACATGCATTGTTACGCTTCCGTGTAGCAATTCCATGTGGCACATATTGGTATTTAAAGTTCCGTTGCGCTTGGTGTAGCTCGGACAACGCACTGTTAACGACGTGTATACAATTGACCCTGCAACACGACTCGGGGCATTTTTGATGATCGACCCATCAAAATGGCCGAAACCGTTGACATCCTTCTCATTACTTAATGCTCCTATCTAAGATTATCAGTATGCTTTAGCTGTAACATGTTGTGCAACACTAAGTTCTATGAACAGCCACACACGATACGGGTTCGGTATACATGCTGCCAACAGGAATTAATCTCTCGGTTTGAAAGATATATAACATTATGCTTCAAGTTTTATAACAATTTATGCTGAAACAACTCTTCTAACACTTCGAAACTTGGCTGCTAACTCTCGTCACAATTCCCGCCACTGCTTTGACATAGGAAAGAATCATACGGCCATCGACTGTGTTGATAATACTTTGCATGAGACTATACGATGTAGTATTGCGTTCTTGTTTTACTATCAGAGTGTTCGCCATTTTGGATGTTGAGTATATGCTCGTTACTCGCGAGAAAGTTGGCTAACAACAATGAGGTTGGCGAAACGGAAAACTTGGGAGAAGAGGCTATCCTGACTAATACAACATTCCGAGATATCGCCAATGGAGCCATCGGTTTGGCCTTTTCTTTTGTTATTGGTTTGGTTGTCCCATTACTTGGGTAGCATATTTCCGAGGTATGATATTCCATGGTGATTTAACAGTTTGTTCGTCACAAGTTGACTTCCCCACGCATAATCATGTACCAGGGACCCAGGACTGGTATTGGACGCGGTGTCCCTAGTGGCCATACTTTCTGGTATGTAAACTTGGCTGTCTGGAAGCATTCCCCAGTGGCCATCGTAGGGCGATCCGGACGACAAAGTGACGCCCTGCGTCCTATGATCCAAGATTCTGTCGAATCTAGGAGCAAATGACGATGAAGATATCGGTCCAAAATACTGCAATTGATTTGTCGAAGCTGACGATGGTGACACCGCAAGGTGCTGCTGGTCGAAGTAGTTTCCAGAAAAGGAACAGGCTGGCTTGTGGCTTGATTCATGCCCTGAAAACTATTAGTCAGATTCCGAGTGCAAATCCATAAATTTGGCTGCTACTTTGGCCTAATCTCCCCCTTCTTTTAGTTGGTGTTACGTAGTAGCAAACAGTTTCCGAAGACTTGGGATCGTCAGTATCGTTGTCTTTCAACTCGTGTAGGTAGTACACACCAGGCACCTATCGCAACTTGGCCTTCCTCCGTTACCTGCAAAAATCAAGTGATCAGTTATAGATTGATTTTGATTTGACCGTGTCTTCTATCAACGTACACTTCCGTTTCCTTACTTTGCATGTTTCACAAGCCCCTGGTCGGCGCTTGTATACTCTTTCACTCGTATCGCCATTGTCTGTCTTCGTAGTTGACGACATGCTATGAGTTCGATTTGCAAAAATCGACTTAAGCATCTGTGAACGAGCCGATTGACCAGTGGAAAGATTTTGTCAATATTGTCAGAGTTGTATTGTGATTTTCAGACGTTTAATATCTGAATTTCATATTCGACTCGTTCATGGTATTGTTCAGCTACTTCCCCACTAGTGGGATGCAGGGCGTGCTTATCGAGTCGTTCACTGGAGCCACCTTGAGGGAGTGTTACCGGGTTCTCTATGTGCAAAAATCCTTGCCTAAGGACCAAGTGAAGACCTACATTTTTCACTCTGCATGTAAGGGCTCTCACGTCTGCGGAGTCGCCGTGTGAACCTTGAGCAAGCGTGTTTTAGATAAAAAGTCCAATTTGTTCAGCTGCCAAGTTTTAGGGTATTCTGGTTAAACCTTAGTTGTTCCACAGAATTACCTATGTTGTATTAGGTGATTTGCTGGCCATGGAAGCACGTTCTGACACATGACGTCGTATGCCCGCTATAGTTTCTGGGAATTGCCCAATAGGTCGGCACATACACCCATGAGTTGTGATAAGCAGGCAAGCTTTCACAAATTTGCATCTCCTAGCAGACTAACCAAAAGGATGTGTTTTAAGGACAATCTTTATCTATTGAATCTTTCAACCATCTCCAAGTCTTCGACTGACCCGTCTCAGGAGCCAAATTCCTATGGATAAACATCGGATTTCAGTGAAGTCTATTTCTTTTACGTGAGATTTCGAACCATGTATTGAAAAGGATAAGTGGCATTTGTAACATAATCCACACAATATTCTGGGTTCTGTTCTACCTGACAGGAGAGACAGTGTTCGAGCAGTGTCGTTTTTCAATTTCTTAAGAATAAATTTTCTCAATCACTGAGGAGGACAGTCACAATGTAGACAACAGCCTTCTTTTTCAAGAAGTGGTGGCAGAAGAAAACAATGTGAATTGTGAGGGTCAACCAGTGAATCCGAAAACCCGAGAAGCACCAGCCGAGTACGTTTGTCAAGCCTGATAGCCCATGAAACGAAGCGGAAGTGGCCTGATTTAGACTTACCGTATCGTTATCCCAAGAACAGTCAGACAGAGTTAGGCTTCCCGATGCGTTACCATCCTGGAGGATCAAGACAGCCGGTCCCACTTCGGCCTTAGCTCATAAACTCTATTTCACCAGAATGATGACAGGACCAAGGAGCACCCATAGCCAGTGGGGAACTGCAAAAAAACGTTTGTATTTCTTCGGTACACTCAAGCTTGTTCGATTGCATTCTCCTCCACAATAAACTGTTATTGTGGCCTGATCTCACGTCAAGGATAGGCTAGTGTGAACGTTTTTGGCGATGCTCTTTCCTATTTTCGGGTTCGCTACGGGCGCTTTCGCTTTTCGCGCTAAACCTCAGCGTTTTTATGAACCAGTGAGGCCAGCTCACACAGGGGTCTCGTTGTCTCCACGCTAGTAACGTTCACGCTTGTCCGACTTCGTAAAGCTGAAGCTATGGATCACTTATAGGGCAAGACAGTGCCTCGACAGTGAATTTTGCGGGAAGGTGGAAATTGTTGGCGTTGGTCAACTCGATTCGCCAAGCATTCACTGGATTTCTTGAAGACGGGAGTATATAATAACATTGGTTATACTGAAAGAGAATAACACTTTAATCCTCTGTATTGCTGACAAGAACCATTTTGCAATCTATACAGAGTTTGTAACAGAAGCTTGCTCTGCACATGGCGTTCCGCGTCATCAGAATCTCTCATTGTAGCTAACCCCACTACTAGCAGGTTTCAGCGGAACCAGTTCCTCAAAGACTCAGTTGACCAACAGCAGTACTGTGTACTTAGAGAGAGAACCATCGAGATAAATTATCTCAAAGACCATTCAATACTATAAAAGCATGCTGCTTAGAATTTTGCAGACGGTGTCCATCCTACTGCTTGCACTCGAACTGCGGCAAAGCAAAGAAATGCTAGAACGTAAGAGGCGCCTGAAAATATGATCAACCCCTCCCAGTCTTGCCCGCCTTTCTTTGCTTGCAGTATAGCACCAGCAATAGGTAGACTGCTCAGTGTCCCAAAACTAGCCATCATCATCGCTGTCGACAGAAAGCGCCCGTATTCCCTTGCATCGCAAAGCTGGCCAAGACAAACCGGAACCAACCCCAAGTTACTGCCGCTAGCGAACCCAAATATAGCAACAAATGCCAGAAGCATGGATTCAGAGTTCCCCGAAGGCAGCCAAAGTCCGAAAACGGAGACAAAACATAAGGCGATATTGATTAAAATGACATTAAATCTCCCATACTTGTCGGCAGCGAGGCCAGGATGAAATCGTTCAACCACTGATCCTGCATTGAGGATGGAGAGAATAGTGTAGGAGTGAACGTTACTGCTAGGAAGAGTTGCAGCATATGATATGATGTAAGTGATGGGAACGAAGAGACCCCATTCCATGAAAAAGATCCCCATAGCCGTGAGCGTAAACTTCAGGTCACTGAAGACAGTAAAATCCGGCCAGATTGACGCAGGGCCCTCTTTTCTCGGAAGCCGGGACCGGATGAGAAGGCTTGCAGGGACCATGAGCCCAAGAAGGATGAATCCTAGAACACGAGCAGTGGGGCCGAAACCTAGCTTCGGGAAGAGATTCTGGAGGATGATGGGATATACGATACCTCCAATGGAGCCAGCTGTCGCCGCGATCCCGGTGGCGAAACCTCGACGCGAGTCAAAGAAGTGTGCAATAGCACCGTATGAGGGAGAGTTGAGCAGTGCGCCACCCAACCCGCCTAGGATGGAGTGTGCAAGGTGAATCTGATAGCACTCTGTAGCCATCAGTTAGCTCAACCCATCGCTGAGAAATGTGACGAATTGTACGAACTCTTGCAAAGACTCAGGAGCAGAAGACTTACTGACATGCACAGACCGCCAGCGACGACTAGTCCGCGTGGACCATATTGGTCGAACATAGGACCTACTTGTATGCCAACGAAGAAGACTATAAAAAGATAAAGACTAAAAACACAGCCAATTTGTGAGGGCAAATGATCGGCAAGTTGATTTTCGGAAAAGTATGACTCAAACACCGCCGCAGAGTTGATAAGACTGAACACGGAGCGCATAGCACAAAAAGATCCAAAGACAACCAGCCACGCTTGCCAACCACCTTCAGGGAACGTCAACTCATTGTCACCTGATACAGATCGCTCCACATAGCTGGATCTGTCTCGATATCTTGATCGTGAGTGGTCATCGTTATATGGGACTGCAGATGGCGCAGATGACGTTTGTCCGGTGACATTCCTCAACTGGATGGTAGACATCTTCATCACAGTTTGTGACATTGTGGACTAGAATGAAGTCAGACGACAGAAATCACGTACCACAGAGCACTTACTCGCCTGTTTCCAAATGCATGTATTGTGTTCCAGTAGGTAAATCACGCTTTCTGTGCAAGTTCTGAACTTCCTCTTGAACAGTCATTTCAAAGATTTTGAACCGCGCAGTTTATCTTCCCCGCTGGGAGTTGGATGATAGTAAATGCCTGCTTTATGCAGAATTGATATACAACATAGGTTGAAAATTGCATTAGAGACTAGTGTGTGGCAACTCTGCCTTTCTGCCCTTTTGTACGACACTGATCCAGTAAGTAGTTTCTAGAAAATGATCGTCATCTTCCCATTATGGGCTTGTCGATATGCTCTCATTTTCTGCTGGCTTGTTTGGAGGACGTTATGGCTCATTCTCGGCAGACTGCAATTTCCTTCACTCTAACCTAAATGATTATATGGGGTTGAGTGTACCAGTCGACGTTAGTGGTTCTCATTCCAAGCAGATTTCACATATCAGATTGGAGTTATTGAAGTCCTCAAAGAACCACTACGGCAAGTTGACCAAGAATGTCTTATGTAGGTTTGTAAGTTTCCCTGATTTTACAAATCGAATATTGTTCTATCTCATGTACCATACAAAAATTGGCTTATCTATCGACTTTACAAGCGAACTATCTCCACAAGCGTTAGACAGTCACCACAAATGGGCCGTCTGGAAAAGTAATACAATTGAGGCTCACCACCAAGAAGGTACATTAGAAATGCCTCTCTTCCAGTCTCTAATCATGCAAGCATTGAAAATTAAACCTGTGAGTAAGAGTACCAAAAAGGGAAGAAAAAAGAAAAGAAAAAGATGGGAGAATTCGTGGTAGCGACACCAGGACTGCCCTTCCCGGGACCCTGAACTGAACCGAACCGAACCGAGGTGAGGGCGCCCGAAAGTGGAGCACGGTGCTACTTTCCAACGAAGATAGATCTCGGCCTTCAGATCGTCGGGCATTCTTTTCCACGTTCCTGTGCTTTTGCACTGTGTTCATTCAATCAAAACTGAGGCCAAGGGACAAATGAAAGTTTTACCATTCGCGTCCTCTTGCACCCGGGGGATATTGTGCTCTGACCTCAACCATGGGCAAACCTTCTGTAAGAGCGTCGGACGAGAAAGAACGAGGAAACGAAAAGATTGTAAACCAGAATGGAGAGGCCCTCAGCCAGCTCGAGCCTGTCTTAGCGACTGCGTCGTACAGACCGCCTGAGATGAGCCCCATACGCCGGCGCGCTGTCATGTTCGCTCTCTGCATGACTCTTCTCCTCGGCGCCCTAGATGTTACAATCATTGCCACGGCCTTGCCTACAATTGCCTCGACTCTGCATGCCACGGCTTCCGAGTACGCGTGGGTGGGAAGCGCCTACACTCTTTCTAGCACAGCTTCTACTCCAATATGGGCCAAAATGTCAGACATATTCGGCCGAAAACCAATGATCATGGTCGCGACGGCAATTTTTATGGCGGGGAGTCTTATCGCAGCGCTTGCGAAGACGATCGAAGTTCTCATCGCTGGGCGCACTGTCCAGGGCCTGGGAGGAGGAGGCTCATTGGTACTTGTCACGATCCTGATTGGAGACATCTTCAAGCTGGAGGACCGGCCCAAGTACTATGGTATGACTGGCATCGTCTGGGGAGTTGCAAGTGCAATTGGGCCGGTCTTGGGCGGCGCCTTCACACAGACAATTGGTTGGAGATGGTGTTGTGAGTTAGCCATCTAACCTCAGTTAAGTTGGGCTCCAGTGCTGATAGACTACAGTCTTCATCAACCTCCCTTTTGACGGCGTGGCTCTGTTGGTTTTGTTCTTCGCCCTCAAAGTCGAGACACCGAAAGAAGCATTTATGACTGGTCTCAGAAAACTGGACTGGATAGGATCTGCCCTTATTATCGGAGGCACCATCTGCTTGCTTTATGGTCTTGAAACCGGAGCCGGGGGCGTAATGCCGTGGAGTTCTGCGCAGGTGATCTGTCTCATTCTATTCGGAGTCGTCATTTTGACACTCTTCGTTTGTTGGGAGGCACGTTTCGCCAGTAACCCCGTCATTCCCTTTCGAATCTTCAACAAAGCCACAAACATCGCTTCCTTCTCCGTTTCTTGTCTGCACAGCTTCGTTTTCATATCTTACGACTACTTCTTACCGCTCTACTTTCAGGTCGTCCTCGGATTCAGGCCCATCATCGCCGGCATTACCATTTTTGCACTACTGATACCGCTGACGATGATGACAATGCTCGGCGGACTCTTCACCAGGCGGACGGGAAACTACATTATACCGATTTTCTTTGGCTCCTTACTAATGACCTTTGGCAATGGGCTGTTCATCAACTTCCAAACAAGCATACAGTGGCCCAAGATCATCATCTTTCAAATGATTACCGGATTCGGGGCAGGCGTGCTTTTCCAAAGCCCCATGATATCAATCCAGACTCATACACGTCAGAGAGATTTAGCCGCCGCAATGTCGGCTTTCAGTTTTCTGCGCTCTCTGTTCTCCTCAATGTCCATCGTCATCGGCACGGTTCTGTTGCAGCATAACCTTGGCGGCGGCGGGTTGACCAGTAGCAACCTGCATTCCAGCCACGAAGCAGGCACATCATCTGTTAAAGACAAGGGAAATTATATATCAGCGTTGCGCATAATGTGGGCTTTCTTTACGGCTATCTCCGGTTGCATGCTGTTTGCGGCAGTGTTTATCAAGCCGAAGCCAATGAAGCCCGTGGTTGAAACGAGAGATTCCTAGAGGACTCTACGATCGGATGCCGTTAAAACCACTCCACTGATAATACAACAAATGGCTACTCTGATTCCAGGCAACTTCGTAGGAAATGATGACTTTCAAGTGCTGCCCATCTCAGGATTGTACGTTCAATTCTCACCATCCTCCCTACGTTTTCAGTTGGCGCAGCGGCGCCTCGTTTTCGTCACTGATACTTATCTCTCTTGAAGTTCTCCCAGAATTCAAGAGTACACTTCTGACATGGACTTTGCAGCTTCAGAAAGCGTTATGCCTGAACTTAGCGGTACTGATCGTCGTGGGGTTCATGGAAAATGAGAAAGGAGATGGGAATGCTTGGATAATTAACCACTAACGCGCGGACGGTACATAAATCCTTATGTAGCAAAGCCTAGAGCTTCATGGTTTTTAGTTGTTACTCTTCGACTCACCAGGACGCTTTAAATTTGAAAGATTGCTGCAGAAAACCTCCGAGACTAGAACATGGATCCGGCTTTCTTGCACGATGTGACAGCCAACAATATGGCAGTATACGAATCCATCGTTGGTCTCTATTTAGTTAAAGCTCACAGAGCTGGGTTAAATTTGTCTTCCATTTTAGTATTTTGGCAGCTCGAGACTTGAAAATAGAATTAACAACCACTGTCGAAATTCTTGTGCTGTATCCTAGTCCTGAGATCAGGTGCGAATATTTTCGGTTCATCATTCAAGAAGTGCATTCGCCAGTGCTTGGAAGTGTCACCCAATGTGAAGAATGATGACTGGGTTCAGGTAGAGCCAAAAGTACAGCAAAACTGAACAGTGAATCAAATCGATGTTGTAATGCTGTGAAGTGTGAGCCCGAAGGGTGAAACGATAACTCTAGGACCTTCAGATGAACACCAATATATTCAAGTTTGCCAAGCTCGGGAGACTGGAAAGACTGCAGTGTTCATGCATCAGAGAACGCTCCGGGGAATCAATGAAATATCCAAAGGTATTTAAAGTAAGTACAAGAAGAGCCACCAGCACCAAATTTCCTCTATACCAAGCCCACATCTAATCATTTACTTATTTATTTCTTCTTCAAGTCAAAGCGGTCGAGGTTCATGACCTTGGTCCACGCAGCGACGAAGTCGTTAACGAACTTCTCGTTGGCATCGGAGCTGGCGTAGACCTCGGAAATGGCACGAAGCTCGGCATGGGAACCGAAGACGAGGTCAGCGCGGGTGGCGGTCCACTTCTCGGCCTTGGTCTTGCGGTCAACACCCTTCCACAGCTCGCCATCAGCACCGCTCTGGGTCCAGGTGGTGGAGATGTCGAGGAGGTTCTTGAAGTAGTCGTTGGTCAGTTGGCCCTTCTTCTCGGTCAGAACGCCGGTGTTGGAACCATCGTAGACGGCACCGAGGGCACGAAGACCACCGATGAGGACGGTCAGCTCAGGGGCAGTAAGAGTAAGCTGGGCGGCCTTGTCGACGAGGATCTCCTCGGTGCGGGCGCGGGCGGTACCACGACCGTAGTTGCGGAAACCATCGGCCTGGGGCTCGAGGTAGCCGAAGGAGCGGACATCAGTCTGCTCCTGGGTAGCATCGACACGACCGGGGGAAAAGGGAACGGAGACGGTAACACCAGCGTCCTTGGCGGCCTTCTCGACGGCAGCGGTACCACCAAGGACAATCAGGTCAGACAGGGAAACCTTCTTAGCGCCGGTGTTAAAGCTGGTCTGGATCGTCTTGAGGGCGTCGAGGACCTCGGCGAGCTGCGTGGGGTTGTTGGAAACCCACTTGACCTGGGGCTCGAGGGCGATGCGGGCACCGTTGGCACCGCCGCGCTTGTCGGAGGCACGGAAGGTCGAGGCAGAGGCCCAGGCGACAGAAGCGAGCTTGGAAACGTCGAGACCGGGGGCGGCGAGGATGTCGGACTTGAGCTTAGCGACGTCGGCATCGTCAATCAGGTCACCCTCCCTGGCGGGAAGGGGGTCCTGCCAGCTAAAGGTCTCCTTGGGGACATCAGGGCCGAGATAACGAGAGACAGGGCCCAAATCGCGGTGGAGGAGCTTGAACCAAGCCTTGGCGAACGCATTGGCGAGCTCTTCGGGGTGGTCCAACCAACGGGTGGTGATGTTGAGGTAGGAAGGGTCGTTGATCAGAGCCAAGTCGCTAGTGAGCATAGTCGCCTTGCGGAACTTGGTGGCATCAAAGGGGTCTGGGTAGTCGAGAGTGCCGTTGGCGGCCTCCCATTGGTGATGGCCCGCAGGACTGGTGACCAGGGTCCATTTGTTGTGCAAAAGAGACTCCAAGTAGCCGTTGCTCCATCTGCAGGTACAAGGGTTAGCGTCGCTGTATCACTGCATAATCACCCAATCGATATAAATAGCTTTTTCTCATTTTTCGCCCCAATGCCGTTGTTTGACCTTCTCTCATGCATGCACAAGCACGGCATATGAGAAGGCCTCAAAGCGGGAGAGTTGGAGGGAACCACCAGCCATGTGCAAGGGGTACGAGATGCAATGGGAATTAGTTCATCACAATCACTTACTTGGTAGGGGTCTTGGTCCAAACGACTTCGAGACCACTGGTCATCTGGTTGACGCCGTTGCCGTCGCCAACGTCGTTGTGCCATCCGAGACCCATCTCGCCAATGTCAGCAGCCTCGGGCGCGGCTCCAATATGATCTGGAAAAGCAAACATCAGTCTTCATGTCCTCAAAAGAGTAGCGGTGAAAGGCGGGGGATGGGAGTAGCGCCTTTTCGCTCGCCCAACTACCTCCAATCTCGTCTAGATTATGCTATGCACTCACCACCAGAGACGGCACCGTGTGTCTTGCCGAAAGCGTGTCCACCGGCGATCAGAGCGACAGTCTCCTCATCGTTCATTCCCATGCGATCGAAGGCGACGTGGATGTCCTTAGCCGAAGCGGCGGGGTCGGAGCTGCCGTCGGGGCCCTCGGGATTGACGTAGATGAGACCCATGTGGGTGGCAGCCAGGGGCTTCTCAAGCTTGTCGGCGCGCTCGTTGATATCGGTGCTACCATTGTAGCGCACATCATTGCCCTTGGGGACGAAGGTAGTCTCTCCGCCCCAGTAGATGGATTCGTCCGATTGCCAAGTGTCAGGGCGGCCGGCGGCGAAGCCAAGAGGCGTGAAGCCCATAGACTCGAGGGCAACGTTGCCCGTCAGGAGCATCAGGTCCGCCCACGAGATCTTGTTGCCATACTTCTGCTTGATAGGCCCTGCAGAACAAACGTGGATCAGCACATGTCTTTCTCTCGCACAAGAGTCCACACCATTCTCGACGGTCGCCTTGCAGCCACCCGCGGAGCGGATGCGGCAAGTGAACCGATGATGCAGTCGACATGGGGGCCTTGGGGGTCTTGGAGGGGTAGCTTACACAGCAGGCGGCGGGCCTTGTCGAGGTTCTGGTTGTCAGGCCAGCTGTTGAGCGGAGCGAACCGTTGTTGGCCCTGCAAGTGGCCAATATTAGTAAACGCCAACCCTTAAAGAATCAAAGTGAGGCAAAGAGGTGATAAGCTGCAAACACGCAGGGTCCATATTTCGATGGCGGTGCGTGTGGAGAAAGGAGATGCTCTAGTTTCTCCTGGCTCTCTCGCGGGATAGGCCAAAATCCTCCGGCTAGCCAATTGATCTTCGCAGGCGAAATAAATAGGACCGCGCAGAGGCCCATTGTACCGACTTGCAGCGAAGGACAACGCTGCATGTTGCACTAAACCAAGGAAAAAGCACTTGGAGCGACCGGGAGGGATGGGAGGCCATAGAGAAGAGGCTGGAATCAAGGCCAAGAAAAGAGGGAAAGACAGAAGAGGAAGCTCAATAATAAAAATAAAACGGCTCACCATTCCACCGCCACCTCGGCCGTCGATGGCGCGATAAGTGCCGGCGCTATGCCAGGCCATGCGGATGAAGAGACCTCCGTAGTGGCCAAAGTCGGCGGGCCACCACTCCTGGGACTCGGTCATCAGAGCGTGCAAGTCCTTCTTGAGAGCATCGTCTATCTCGTGTTAGTAGCTGCCGCTTTTGGATCGCGGTCCAACGCTGTTCAAGACTCACAGTCCAGAGACTTGAAAGCCTCGGTGTAATCAAAGTCGTTTCCGTACGGGTTGGTCGACGGCTGAAACTGGCGGAGAACATCGAGTCTAAGCTGGCAAGGCCACCAGTCGTGGCTGCGAGTGCCGCCGCCGGCCTGGTTGCTGATTGTGGAACATCGACCAAAGCCCACGGCGGTGTCTCTTTTAGGGAGCTCGCTGTTAACGGAGCCATCTCGTTTCGCAAAAGGGCAACCCTGAGCCGAGACGGCAGGCAGAAGAGCAGACGCTGCCAGAAGACAGCTCGACAGTTTGGCGTGCATGATTGGCGATCCAGAGGAGGAGGACTTCAAAAGAATGAAGTGACAGTGCAACCGGGGAGACTCAAGAGGCGAGGATGAGTTGTTCCTGGAGAGTGCAAAACGAAACTTCGAAGATGGGACGAACCCAGGGACATATGTATGGAACCTGCTGCGAGCTCGACTCACAAACGAACAGCACTCACCAACTCACGTGGATATATTCTGCTTCCATGAACCCACGATTGGTAACAAAATTGCACAAATACCAAGGCTGCAATGCCCATCCTGGCACGTATGCAGTGCCGTATACTACGCACAAGCCCCCCCCCCCCCCCCCCCCGCCGAGTTCCAAAAATGACGCTGATGGAGGCGTTGGTAATAAGCTTCCTACAACGGCAGTGACTTCGGTATTGCGCCAACCCAGCCCACACGCAAGGTTTGAGATCCAGAATAAGCGCTTAAGACCAAATCTCCTTTGATTAGGATGGGCGTAAACAGACGGAGATGGGCCCGTTGACAAGACCCGCTTTTCACACTTTTGGGGGGCATTTGTCCCTAAGCGATGTCCATCTCAGTGAAACCTACGACAAGCTAATTGGGCCAGAACACCAGGATGGGCTGGGATCAGCCGGGAAGATGAGCCCAGACATGGTCCCCAATAGGCTTAAGCTAAGGAATCCGGGGACCTGAGTAACAATTGGCACCTTGCAGGACAATAGCAGTTGTAAGTACCCATGCGGGCCGGAGCCAAGCGACTGGAAGAGTAAGGTAGTAGCAGTCGTACGGTGATTAACGCACTACCCCTGCGACCAATTGTGCAATGTCAGTTTCCAAGCTGTGGGAGCCACTTCGAATCTAATAGACTTCGCCGCGACCACCCGAAGAGCAACAAGTCGGATCATGCCACCGCAGCTCACCCCGCGCTGCGGACTGCAAATGGAGCAACCCGCGCGCCACGGGGGGATTAATGCTCCGTCAGCTACCACCGTGGCAGCTGAGTACCCTGCTAGACACCGCCAGAGGCAGTCTAGGCCGGCAAGCCATAACCGCTTGTCACTGCCAGGCTAGAGTGGCACAGGGTAATTTTACCCGGTGCGACTCGTCAACACATGGGACGAAGGAAGCTTTTCATCAATCGTGCATTGACTCAGCCCTATTCTCTCTCTGCGGGATGAAAACATGGTGTTGGGGCGGCGTGGGAGGAAAGGATCTGGCCCCTCCCGGTGACCTCCTGGGCGGGCTTCAATGGCTTTGACTGGCACACCATCCGCATGGTAAAGACTTACACACACACACACACACACACACACACACACACACTGACACACGTATGCACCTCCCACACACAAGCAGACGGGCAGGCGGGCAACCCAGATTAGCATGCATACTGCAGGCGAACTACCATCAAATTTCAACGGTCGGGCCAGCCACCAACACCACCACCACCACCACCACCATCCGTAATAGGAAGCTGAGAGCTAAGAGCTGTCGGCCGAAAATCCTGCAACCCCGGCTGTGTCCGGAGGAATCTGTCCCTGGGCATAGCCACATTGGTCATTCTGCCAAGTATCTTGGCGGGGTGGCACTTTTTCACGTGCAGTGATCCCCCTGACAGAGAAACTTTGGAAGGACGCGACCTATCTTGCAAGGAAGAACATGCAAAGGGGAGCTGATGCTGGGAGTGGCTGAGATAGATCACATTCGACGCCAACGATGCCAGCACCTCTTCATTCATGCCCGCCAACTGAGTCTCGGCCGATAATCCACTTGCCGGCGAGGCATGCATTGACCAATTCACCGCGGGCGCCAATTTCGAGTAGTCTTTGGTACGCGGAAACGTTGCCCTATTTTGTCCGACGCAAGTCCGCACGACGGCGCGCGGCCCCCGTGGGATGCAGCAACGGTTTGGCCGCTGCACGCAAGAGGGATACAGGTCGGCGATTGAAAATAACTTAAAGTTTGTGTTATCATATCCGTGGCATAGTAGGCAATTATAGGCTCTGAGAGATTTAAATTGGAGTCAGTTCATACCCCTCACAAATCACATGACGAACCTTTCCATACACGAATCTTGCCGCCTAGCTTGCCCTTTCTCCCACTATTTGCGATTGCGATTGGGTGGTAGGTCCGTAAAGTAAACCTAACTAAGTGACAACCTTAGATAGCAAGAATGCTTACAACCCATGACGATTCTGATTGCAAAACGGGGACTTTGGCTGGACTTGCCTTGTGTTTTGGCAGCCCTCATACTTCTAGGTTCTACTGAGTTTCCTATCGCGTTATCGAGGACGGGCGATGTTTCCTATTGAGAGGCATACAGGAAATACATGTGATCAATCACTTTCGTTTTCGTTATAACCGTCCATGCAGTCACATGCGGAGTCAAAGGAAAAGGTTGTTGGTCTTTTAGGTGTACGAACTCGACAGACTCGGACCTGTTGCCCGATGATATGTTCTGTTGGGCAAGATAGTTCTGCCTCAATCCTGAAGGTTGCCCTGATACGTCGCAGAAGCAGCTTTACGATTACTCTATATCAAAGATGTCTCGAATCACAGTGTTCACACAGTATGAGACGGGATACCCAAGGCCTTCCTTGGACTTGTGGTTTTCTACCAGTCTCATTTGGAATCATTGATATCGAAATTGGGGACATGCAGCTTTTCGCTGTCGCTTTCTTGTTCGTCTCCGCCACGTCAGTGCGTAGCGGAATGCCTCAATTTACCTACGCAGTTGTGTCGTTTGACCGTTCTGCGACAGCAGGTCAAGAACTAACTGCCCTTGTTTCATCCATAATACATGCAAAATGTGCTGCCTCCTGTCGGTCAGCTGTATTCCCATTGGCCATCATCTCGCCAGCGTTGAATAAACCGTCAGCTGCCACCAGCAATATGACAAAGCCTCAAAGACCGACCAAGAAACATAGGACCCCCTCGTGGCTCTCCTTGCCGCCAGTCGCCTAAGCCTTGGGACGTCCAGAGGCCAGAAACAAAAGTTCAGCTACTTCAAAATACTGCTCTTGCCTGACGTTTCGTGCTACTGTCAGTGTTGATCCTCCAGTCTTTACGCCACGCCGCGTGGACTAGTCACCTGGGTTGTGCATGCCAAGCTTAAGGTCAGCTCCATCACATTGCATAAGCGTGTGTGCTATTTTCAGCCGCCTATCGAAGAGGTCCAGTATGTCAACTAGCTTCTGCCCTTGTCCGGATAACCTACCACAATGGCTCGAGACAACAAGTGGTACCACATTTTTACTCCTCGCCCAGCGGAATTGTCACGGCAAAGTCATCCCTGTTTCCATCAAGAATGCGAGTTTTACGGCTGCATAATGCTCATCGGTCGAGAACCTGCTGATGCGCGCATGCTCGAGGCGCAGTGAAGGCCGCCAGCTTCGGAAGGATTGCTGACTCCCAGAAGAATCCTAGTCAGCTCACGGTAAACCAGCCAAGCGTGCAAAGTAGGCTAACAAAACTGTGATACAGCGGTGAGCGTAGCTTGATGGACCCGAAGGAATCGGTGAGCCTGCAGGCAGGTGTGAGACATTCCATCATGTCCGATGGGCCCGAAGACCGGCACATGATCACCAGCTGTCCCGACCCCACGGGGCCGACTTTGGCATAGCCCCTGACTGTCCGTCAGGGGGCCCCACTCGGCCCGGCGCGCTTGGCAAACCCGAAACTACGAGCCACTCGTCAAACCTTATTACCCTGGGAAACGGAATATACGGGTAATAGATTCCGTATCAGGGTGGGAGGGAACGGCACCGACTGGCACAGTGCAAATAGGGTTTTCTCCCACCAACAAACACATCATTTTTACGTTAACGTACATGCATAGTGAGCGGATCAACATAGTGAGCGGATCACTTTCCTTTTCTTTCTTACCTTTCCTCCTTACAACAACTTTCCTCTATGCACAACTATGGAATCCTCCTCAAATAAAAGCCACATTATTCTTGCACTTAAAGCTATCCAAAAAGACCTAAAACTATCTATATAAAAAGCAGCCTTTATCTATAAGATCCTATTCTTAACCCTTAACTATTAACGCATTAGATAACTACTATAACAAGAAACGTAATTAAAATCAATAAAGATAACTAAGCTAAAAGAAATAGTGATTCTTGAATAAGTTATTAACCTAATTAATTAAGGATTTCTATTATGACTTAATGATATACGAGATATAGCTGATTACCTCCTTGATGAACGTGATATAACGCGTGTTAGACCCTAATAGGTAGAGAACTTTATATAACGTTAACTATAACTAAAGACGCGTTTTTAATATAAAATTAATTATTAGAGAGTATTAGCTAAGGATCCTGTAATTATATAAGCTTAGTTTACTTTTATATAAAATATAATTATAGAATATAGAATTTATAATAATAATATTTATAATTTTAATAAAATAGGCTTTTTAATAAAAATATTATTATATATAAAAGTTATTATAACCTCTAATTACTATAAAAGGCCTTATATAAAGTAGCCTAGTAATTATAAATAGGTTTTTATTATTTAAGGCATATATATAAATAGCTAAGTACTACTTTTATATATTATTATTAAAAGCAAATATTACTTTTTTTTATAGTATATTAATAGCTAATTTTTACTTTAATAGTATATTTACTTTAATAAAAATAAATAAACTATAAATAAGATTAGTTTAGATTAGCTATAATATTTTAAAAAGTATATAAAGTCTTATATAAAAAGTATTAAGTAACTCTTAATCTTTAATAGCTATAATAGCTATAAGTCTATTAAGTTTAATAATTACTATAAAAAACATAATATTATTATTTTTTATATACTTCTTTATTTATTAAGTAAGAATAACAGGGGGTTATTCATAAATAGTCACAAGGAAAAGTAGAGAAGAATAAGATAGACAGAAAAGGTATATATATATATTAACCGTTAAGGTATCGTTATACTTTTTTGTTATTATTCAAAACTGTCTAAGTAGAAGGAATATCTCTTAGTTATATAGAAAGTCCCTTAGATACGTATAG